CCACTTCCAGCTTTTTTTTCTTTTTGCTTATGTGGTGCTGAGGAATCGAACCCAGGGCCTCAGGCATGCAAGGCAAGCGCTCTACCACTGAGCCACCTCCCCAGCCCCTGAATAATTTCTTTGGTAGAGTTCTCCAATCCATCCTTTCCTACCTTCCTTCTTTTCTTCCTGCATCCATCCTTTCCTTCATTTCCTTACCATTCTTTTTTTTTTTTTTAATAAATAAAAGAGCTGGGCACCTGTGTCTCACACCTGTAATCCTAGGTACTCAGGAGATTGAGATCTGAGAATTGAGGTTCAAACCCAGCCTGAGCAGGAAACTCCGTGAGATTTAGAACCAGAAAACCGGAAGTGGGGCTATGGCTCAAGTGGTAGAGCGCTAGCCTTGAGCTGAAAAGCTGAGGGACAGCGCCCAGGCCTAGAGTTCAAGCCCCATGACTCACCAAAGGAAAAAAAAAGAAGAACAAATCCTGATAGGTAACCCATGCTGGCCTTGAACAAATTATAAGCCTTCTACCTCACCCCCCTGACTGCTGGGATTGCAGGTGCCTGGCTCAGAAGAGCTTGCTTACTTTGAGTTAGATTGTGATTTGATTACATAATTTGTTTTCTCTGTGTTGGGTTTTTAAACTTGAAGCAGCATGTCAGCTGGTGTGGCACGTGTTTCTGCTCAAAGCCAGTGGCTTCCTCTTGTTATTACTTCACCAAACTGAATACAGCCACTAAATGGAGAAAGTGGTGATCATTTTGGAATAGCTCTTATGCTTGAGCTTCATTTAGGAGTGAGCATCTTCTGATGTTGACATTTTTGAAAGGGAAAAAAAGAATGATAACTACTCTCTTCTGAGTTGCCTCTATTAAAACTGTAAACAGCTATTCCATATGTGACATTTGTTTTGCAGTGTTAGGGATGGAGTCCTGGGTCTGGAGCGTGCTAGGCGATCACTGCTACTGAGCTACCCCCCAAGCATCCCCAGGACAGTGCCCAGCTCCCAATGTGTGGTGCTAACACACATCTGGTGCTGCCCTCTGCTGTGGGGAAGTTCCTAGTTCTCAGTCAAGATGAGCAGGTTTTCTTTGCCTTTTCCTTTCCTTTCCTTCCTTTTTTTAAAAATTTCTTCATTGAGGTTAAGTGATTACATAAACTTCACAATACTGTGGGATAGTGATTCTTAGCTAAGTCACACACACATTCTAACCTTCACCAGGCAAATTGTCATGATCATGGTCTATCAAGTTTGTGAATTTTACAAGCTTTGACAGTACAACTATTTCTTCCACGCTGGGTGATATGTGTGTTTCTTTCCTTAGTGTGACCCGCTCCCTCCTTCCCTCTCATTCCCTTCCTCCCATCGCTGCCTTTGAGTTGCTTCGTTCATGTTCATCCGTGTCCAGTGCAGCTGAGGGCCCTCTGTTGTGCTCTGGTTCTGTGCCGCCTCCTGGCTTCCCTCAGAAGAGCACATGTGTATTCCATCTATGGGGTCAGAACATAGAGTCATCTAAAAACAACAGGACAAAGTAAGAAGAGGTCCTTTGTTTTTTGAGTCCTGTTTACTTTTGAGCAGGTTTTTTTTCTTTTTCTTTTTTTATCAGTCCTGGGGCTTGAACTCAGGGCTTAGGCACTGTCCCTGCACACTTCAGCTCAAGGCAAGCACTCTACCACTTGAGCCATAGCACCACTTCCAGTTTTCTAGTAGTTTATTGGAGATAATCATTTTACAGACTTTCCTGCCTGGGCTGTCTTTGAACCGTGATCCTCAGATCTCAGCCTCCTGTGTAGCTAGGATTACAGGCATGAGCCACTGGAGCCCGGCTCAGGTTTTCTTTTAAAGCTGCAGGTGTCACAAGTGGTTTTATTTATTTTATTTTAGTTATTTATTGGTCATTTGTGGGACTTGAACTCAGGTCCTAGGCTCTGACCTTGAGCTCTTTCGCTCAAGGCTAGCGCTCTACCAAGTCTGGTTTTCTGGTCGTTAATTGGATAAGAGTCTCACAGACTTTTTCTGCCTGGGCTGGCTTTGAAGGCCATCCTCAGATCTCAGCCTCCTCAATAGCTAGGATTATAGGTATGAGCCACTGGGGCCCAGCTTCAAAGTTGGTTTTAATTGTTGGTTTGGTTTGGTTTTTTTACTTAAACTTGTGGGCTTTTTCCAATTTCAGTGTGGGTAAGACATCACTCATGAACCAGTATGTGAACAAGAAGTTCAGTAACCAGTACAAAGCCACAATAGGAGCAGACTTTCTGACCAAGGAGGTGATGGTGGATGACAGACTAGTTACCATGCAGGTAAGCCATTGCACACTAGTGCTAGCCACACCTTGTTAGCTTATCTAATAATAAACTTAAAATACTTAGGCATTTTTCCTCTTTGTTGCTCAGACTTTACTGTTACATTCATGTGGAAGGCATATAGATATCCTACAGATGGAATTACTAGATGCAATTCTAGACACCCAGATTTTTCTTGTTTCTGGGTTGGTTTGTTTGTTTGTTTTTCTTGGTAGTGGGGCCTGAACTCTGGGTCTGGGTGCTGTCCCCTACTCTTCAGCTCAAGGCTGGCGCTCTACCACTTCCAGCTTTTTCTGCTTTTGTGGTGCTGAGGAATAGAACCCAGGGCCTCAGGCATGCAAGGCAAGCGCTCTACCACTGAGCCACCTTCCCAGCCCTTGTTTCTGTTTTTATTAGCATACACAACTAGTAGGTGGAGGGTCTCACTGTGGCTTCTTTACACAGCGCATCCCAGTCAGCCTCCCACTCCATCACCGCCTCACCCCATTCCTCCATTCTTTTTTTTTTTTCCGTCGGTCATGGGGCTTGAACTCTGGGCTTGGGCGCTATCCTTCAGCTCAAGGCGCGCTCTCTACCTCTTGAGCCACCACACCACTTCCTGTTTTCTAGTGGTTTATTGGAGATAAGACTCTCATGGACTTCTCTGCCCGGGCTGGCTTTGAACCACCATCCTCAGATCTCAGCCTCCTGAGTAGCTAGGATGAGCCACCTGCACCCAACCCTCCATTCTTTTAAGTGAAGGCACAGTTTAAGTTAGATCTTCTATGTGTGTCATGCTGGAGATTTACTGCAGGGCCTTATGCATGCTAAACACATTCCACTACTGGTGACATCCCAGCTCTATAAATGTGAATTTCAGGGTAAAGAATACTAAAATTTTGTGAAATTTAAGTATAACTAGGCTTTGTTTTTCTCTTTTCCTCCCAAGGTACAGAGAATTAAACCGAGGGCATCAAGCATGTTTGAGAAGCACTCATGCTAGACAAGCCCAGTCCCTGATCCTTTTGCTTGATTATTTATTATTTATTTATTTTGGTCATGGGCTTGAACTCAGGGCCTGGTTACTGCCCCTGAACTTTGGTGCCCAAAGCTAGATCTCTGCCACTTTAAACCACAGCCCCATCTCCAGATTTTGGTAGTTAATTGGAGTCTCATGTACTTTTCTGCCCAGGCTGGCTTTGAACCACAATCCTCAGATCTCAGCCTCCTGAGTGACTAGGTTTTCCAACTGCGAGCCACCGGCACCCCCCATCGATTATCTGTGACTTGGGAGCTTTATTCCCACCGGCACCCCCATCGATTATCTGTGACTTGGGAGCTTTATTCCCACCGGCGCCCCCCATCGATTATCTGTGACTTGGGAGCTTTATCCCCAGGCTGGCCTGAGGTGCAGTGCTCCTACTTGTGCTCCTTCGTGTCTCTGGGGACAGATGCACACGGCTGCACTGAGGCCCTGCCACGCCCGGAAGGGGCCAGTGGCAGGCACCATTGTTCCAACCATTGCTTGAGACACAGTGTTCATGAGTTCTTTAACTATGAGGCTCCGCTTGGACCTTCCCAGCTAGCTAGGGTTACAAATTCAGCCACAGTGCCCACCTGGGTATTATTGGTGGTAGTGTGGTATTTGTCACATCAGGCCTAGGAGCATAGCTCATGGCAGAATGTGTACTTAGCATGCATGGAACACAGCCTTATCCAAAAAAAGAAAATTGTCCTATCAGAATCGTGAGTGGATATATAATATATACAATCTTTTTTTTTTTTCTTTTTCTTTTGTCAGTGAGGCTTGAACTCCTGACCTGGGCACTGCCCCTGAGCTCAAAAGCTTTTTTTGCTCACTGTACCACTTGAGCCACAGCACCACTCTGGTTTTCTGGTGGTAAATGGAGATAAAAGTCTCACAGACTCTCCTGCCCGGGCTGGCTTTGAACTGCGATCCTCAGATCTCAGCCACCTGAGTAGCTAGGCGTGAACCACTGGCGCCCGGCGTGGCTTGTATAATTTTAAACGTAAAAAAATAATGAATATTTCTCTTAGGGACATTGGTCAGAGGTAGAATGTTTGCCTGGCACACACTGTAAACTGGATTGCGTCCCCAGCATCACTTACCCAAAAAATTAAAAAGATCACAGTAGGCAGAGGGTTATGCTCCCCCCCCCATCCTAGAGCTTGATGCCAGGGCCTGGGCTCTGTATCTGAGCTTCTCTGTGCTCAAGGCTAGCACTCTTGACTTAAGCCACAGGGCCACTTCTGGCTTTTTCTGTGTATGTGGTACTGAGGAATCAAACCCATGGCTTCATGCATGCTAGCTCTACCACTAAGCCACATTCCCTGCCTGGATTATGCTTTTTATAACTTCTTTTTTGGTCACAGGGCTTGAACTCTGGGCCTGGGCACTGTCCCTCAGCTCTTCAGCTCAAGGCTAGCGCTCTACCACTTGAGCCACAGCAACACTTTCTGTTATCTGGTGGTTTATTGGAGATAAGAGTCTCATTGACTTTCCTGCCTGGGCTGGCTTTGAACCACATCCTCAGATCTCAGCCTCCTGAGTAGCTAGGATGACAGGTGTGAACCACCAGCTCCCGGGTATAACTTTGAAGTTAAATTATTTTGAGCTTATTAGGAATAGCCCCTCCAACTTCTCAGCTTTTCCTTTTCATTTCACTCTTTGCCTTTTCTATTAGTAGTCATTTAGTTCTCAGCTGAGAGCGACCAGTTCTCACGTATCTCTGCTCTTGGAATCTGTCTGAAATACCGGCAAAGCATAATATTTGAGACTGGACCTGTGAGAGGCCACATGTGAGAGGGTGTCATGGGATCCTTTATATTTGAAAAATGTGTCCAGGTCTAGATTGAGTTCTGTTTATGAAACTTTCATACTTTCATAGGAATAGTGATCTGTTTCTACTTCATTATATGACCCAATTCTTTTTTTTTTTTGTCGGTCGTGGGGCTTGAACTCTGGGCCTGGGCACTGTCCCTCAGCTCTTCAGCTCAAGGCGAGCGCTCTACCACTTGAGCTACAGCGCCACTTCCGGTTTTCTGGTGGTTTATTGGAGATAGGAGTCTCACGGTCTCTCCTGCCCGGGCTGGCTTTGAACCGCGATCCTCAGATCTCAGCCTCCTGAGTAGCTAGGATTACAGGCGCGCGCCACCAGCGCCCGGCTTTGTGACCCAATTCTTGATTCTTCTCTACCTTAGTCCCCTTCTATGAGAAAACGGTTGTTTTTACACATAGGAAGAACATGAGTAAGCACAAAGACCCTATCCCTGGTAGCTCCTCAGTCCTGCCTTGACCCTGCAGACCCTGCCTCACCTGCATGTGTGTTCTGAGGCAGAGGACTGTTTGGCCTCACCTATCCCGATAACCTTGTCCTAATATTACCACAGCTGTCTTCTCAGTTGAGGTGGCTGTCCGGCAGTGGAGAAATCTAGTGTTGCTCTTGAACCTACTCTAGCACTGGAAAGCAACAATTTGCATTGGTCAGTAGGACCTGTGCGATACTCCATTTCTGTCAGGGTGTGTGATTGCTTTGTTTTGTAATAGAGGGTTTGTTGTTGTTTGGTCCTGGTTCTGGGGCTTGAACTCAGGGCCTAGGCACTGTTTCTGAGCTTTTTTTGCTCAATAATAGTGTTGTGCCCCTTGTGCCACAGTTCTATTTCCAGTTTTTTGGTAGTTAATTGAAGATAGGAATCTCACAGACATTCCTGTCCAGGCTGGCTTCAAACCGTAATCCTCAGGTCTCAGCTGCCTGAGTAGCTAGGATTACAGGTGTGAGCCACCAGTGCCCAGCTTGTAATTGAATTATAATATAAAATATTATAAAAAATATAAAGCATGCTGAACTTTTAAACCAAACTTCACTTTATTGAAATGTATAGATGTGAATGTACAATTCAGTGACGAATCACCTCCTTTTGTTTGTGTTTCCCCCAGAGAGGCTGGGTGTGGGAGCCACACCTGTAGCCTCAGCACTGGGGACGCTGAGGCAGGAAGAGGCCAGGGTCCAGGCCAGACGAAGCTCCATAGCAAAATTGTTCTCAGAAACAAACAAATATTCCTAGAGAAGTCCCAGGGTTATAAGGGTACATAAGCATATAAGAGCATACATAGCTACCCATGTAGGGCAGTATATAAAAACTTACTTTGTAGCACTCCAGAGAGCAGACTCCAGGTCACACTCTCAGATACTCTCTGCGCTTACTTGTTAGGGTTGTTTAGGGTGCTGCTGCACTGTGGGGGTCTGCGTCCTGAACCCTGTAGCTTTGTGGGTCCCCCCCCCCGTCAGCCTGTGTGCTGTTACAGGCCCCCCAGCACAGATGCACCTGCTGCTCTGCTGAGCGTCCTCCAAGTTGGAAATGTTTGTTATTTCTTGCAGATCTGGGACACAGCTGGTCAGGAACGGTTCCAGTCTCTTGGTGTGGCCTTCTATAGAGGTGCAGACTGCTGTGTTCTGGTGTTTGATGTGACTGCCCCTAACACATTCAAGACCCTTGACAGCTGGAGAGATGAGTTTCTCATCCAGGCCAGTCCCCGGGATCCTGAAAACTTCCCCTTTGTTGTGTTGGGAAACAAGATTGACCTCGAAAACAGACAAGTAAGTGCCAGAGGTGATGGGAGTTGTCACAGACACCCACCCCTCCAATTCCTTGGGGCTTTGAAAAGTTCTATGCTAGGTGGTTCTGGATGGTTCTTGGTTTTAGAGTCCCTCATCCTGGGCCAGGGCCATCCTTTGAGGTCTTTGAGAAGTCTGGCGATGCTGGCTCCGTGTCTGACCCTGAAGCACCCCCTCCAGCTGTGTTGCTGCTGCCAGCTGTTGCTGCTCTTTGAACCTTTTGCTCTCTGAAGTAGGGAGTTTGATCTCACTCTCAGTGGTCTGCACAGATCAATGGTATAGAAGATTGCCGTGGGTTTTGAATTAAATGGTTTTTGTGTATTTTCAAACAGTATTTGTTGGAAACATTCTTTTACTAATTACAGCTACTTATTTCTGACCACTAATCCCTTAATTTTCTCCTTTCTAAGACTTGTCTCTTGGTTGAAATGGGCTAGCATTGGAAAGGAATGAGGATGTGTGAAAGCTACAAAATTATGTGTCACTTGAGCACACAGCACGGGTGTCCACGACCAAGCAGGCAGGCGTGTTGAAGAGATGAGAGGGTGCTGTTCGTCCTAACTGGCTTTTTTTTTTTTTGGGGGGGTGCCAGTCCTGGGGCTTGAACTCATGAACTCAGAGCCTGAGTGCTGTCCCTGAGTTTTTCTGCTCAAGACTAGGGCTCTACCACTTGAGCCACAGCTCCACTTCTGGCTTTTTCATGGTTGATGGGAGATAAGAGTCTCAAAGACTTTCCTGCTTAGGCTGGCTTTGAACCATGATCCTCAAATCTCAGCCTTCTGAATAACTAGGATTATAGGCATGAGCAACTGGTGCCTGTCTTGGTCTGGCTTTTATTCCCTTCACAAATCACATGTGAGCATAGCTGAGGTCAGTAGCACAGGCTGCCCACGCTTTGAGTCTGGCACGATCTGTGATCCTCACAGCCAGCTCACGAGTCTTGGCAGATCTCCATGGTTGTCGCTCATCCTCATTCCAGGTCTGACTTAGCTGTGTACCTACAGGCTGTCACTGCTCGTGTCAGTCCACATGTGCCCTGCTTCTTCCTGCAGGTGGCCACAAAGAGGGCACAGGCCTGGTGCTACAGCAAAAACAACATTCCCTATTTCGAGACCAGTGCCAAGGAGGCCATCAATGTGGAGCAGGCGTTCCAGACAATCGCAAGGAATGCACTTAAACAGGTAGGTGTCCAGGTCTCCACAGTGGTCTGGCACCCTCTGGTGATGACAGCCTGGCACTGGCCCAACCCTACTGCCCTTGCTTGTGATCTTTCCTAGCACCCTCTCATGGGCAGTCAGGAAGCTCTGTTTCTGGGAGGTCAAAGGCAGTTTCTGCCTGAGTCCCAGAAGTTCTGCTCTGTGTGTCATCTAAAGACTGCAGTGAAAACATGGGCCTGCGGCTCGAACCCAAGAACGCAGGGCCTGGGTGCTGTCCCTGAATTTTTCTGCTCAAGGCTACTTTCTTTTCATGCCAGTAGATCAGAAAACTCTTTTCCAAATTGCTCCTTCTCTTTAAAGAGGAGATACACTTAAATTCAATTACTAATTCTATTAGTCCTTAGACCTAACTTTTAAAAATTACATCTGAGCTCCTGTTTCCCACCTTTGTAACACGCCCTTTGCAGGGCGTTTGTGATGGTTTCATGGGGTGGACATACATGCTAAGAAAGACCAACAAGAGGCAAAATCCAAAACGACTGTATTAAGGAGCCTGGAGCTCTGCGTGACAAGGTAACAGGAAGGCAGGGTGGGCTGGAGCAGGTGAGAGCAGGTCATCCAGCATCGTCCCACGTGGCACAGCAGGTGTTGGACTGCAGAGAAGGCAGCTGTGTCCAGGACACCAGGCTGGTCAGATGCACCGGTTCTCAGAGAACAAGATGTCTGGCTGTGTGGGTGAGAGACCCTGGGAACAAGGGGGCCTACACAAGTGACAGCCTGCCTGGCAAGGCTTGTGCCCGAGCGCCCAGCACCTCTCTGGAAACACAGGTGTGTGCTGACTGCAACACAGACCTGCACCTGACTAGTAACCCCACAGGCTTTTCAGAGTTGATGCGGCCACTTAGGAGTCCCGTCCTTGGTGGCTGGCATCACTCGCAGTGTTTCTCTGATCCTTGCTGTCCCTGCTTCTTTGCGTCACTGCTTACGTTTCTGTGGGGTCTAAGCTGTTAGGCTGAGAGGTGTGCTTCCTCTCATGTGTGTGAGGGTTTGGTTTCTCCCCCTCCCTCCCTCCCTCCCTCCCACCCAGCAGAGGGTGTCCTCAGCTGCTGACGGCCGCGCCAGGTGCGGGCCTGCCAGTTCCCCTTTGTGGCCACTGTTCCACTCTAGCTCGGCTATTTGGGTCTCTCTGCTTGACTAGCCTCCACAAAGCACCTGAAAATCCTCACCAGGGCCTGGGGAATTGAAGCTGAGTTCACCTGTGCTCCATGGGATGGTCTCAAGTTCCAGCCCAGCCTGTGGTATTTACTAAGACTGTCTGAGAAAAATTGAGAAAGTGCTACACAGGAGGCCCTTTCACAAAAAGAAAGTTAGGGCCAGAAAGCAGGACATCTTTGGACATACTTTTTTTTCCCTTTTGAATAGCCCTTTGTTTTCATTGCTAACATGTGGAATAAGAGGTCTTCCCTGCCCTGCCAGCGTGGTCTGTGTTGTATTTGATGTGCACATACTCTGGGATGCATGCACAGTTCCCTTAGTTTCTCCTGGTGATGTCTGTGTCTCTTTGGACACAGACTTGATTTGGTGTTTTCTTTTCTTTTTCTTTTTTGCCAGTCCTGGGGCTTGAACTCTGGGCCTGGGCGCTGTCCCTGAGCTTCTGCTCAAGGCCAGCACTCTACCACTTGAGCCACAATACTACTTCCAGCTTTTTCTGTGTATTTGGTACTCAGGAATTGAACCTGGGGTTTCATACATGCTAGGCAAGCACTCTACCACAAATTCACATTTCCAGCCCTCAGACTTGATTTGAAAGCCTTTAGATGTGGAGGTGTGGCTCAAGTGGTAGGGCTCCAACCTAGCAAATGTGAGGCCTTGCATTCAAACCTCAGTACTGTCTCAGAAGGAAAGAGTCTGGGGTCCGGCTCCTGTCAGGGCACAGTTCTACGTGTTGTTTGTGGGTAATTGTTTGCCAGTACTGAGTCCACCCTGAGGACCTGCGGTGCTCTGTCACTTCTGAGCCATACCTGTAGCCTGGCTTTTTGCTGATTATTCTAGAGATGGAGTTTCTCCAGCCTTTATGCCTGGGCTGACTGTGATCCATGATCCTCAGATCTCACCCCCCTGAGCAGCTAGGGTTACAGGTATCCAACTTCATCATTCTATCTTATATCTTTTTTCTTGCCTGGCATTTCTTTTTTTAGCTGTCTTGTATTTTCTGGTGTTTTTTTTTTTCTTTTCTACTTTATTGAAATCTGTGTTTCTTTTTCTTTTTCTTTTTTGTTAATTTGTTTTTATTGGGGTTTAGGACATGGGATGAGAAAGGTCACCTTGAGACATGCCCTTCCCCCCAGGAAATGTCCATTCTAATCCTGGGATGCTTTTTTTTTTTAGCTTTTTCTTTCTCTTGACACTACTTTCTACTTTATTGAAATCTGTGTTTCTGCGGTTTTCTCCCCTCCACCCCAGCTGCAGCCCGTACGTCTCTGTGGGGTGCACCTGTCCCCATAGGCTGCCCAGCACACCGCAGGGACAGGGTGGCTTGCACCTTTCGGTCCAGAACGCAGCTGCAGCAGTCTGGGTCCTGTAAGGCCTGTCCTGCTGTCCTCTGCCTCTGTGCAGAGTGGGCAGGTTCAGCCGCTGCCTGGGGCATCCCTGACCCCGTGGGAGCAGTATAAACTTCAGATCCTTGCCTAGAACGGTATTCTGAGGCACAGGTGGGAAGGAAGGTGGCTCAGTGGTGGAGCGCTCGCCTCGCATGCTTGAAGCTCTGGGTTCCATTCCTCTGCACCACATACACAGGAAAGGCCAGAAGTGGCTCTGTGGCTCAAGTGGTAGAGGGCTAGCCTTGAGCTGAAGAAGCTCAGGGACGGCACCCAGGGCCTGAGTTCAAGCCCCAGGACTGGCAAAAAAAAAAAAAAGATGAAACGCTGGTGAATGTTGCCACCAGAGGCTAAGACGCGAGGGGGACCCTTCAGGACGGGAGTGGGGCTTGGAGGCAAAGCCCTTGCTTACCAACCCGGAGGCTGTGGCTGCAGTCCCCGCAGGGCCAGGGAGGCCACTCCCATAACTGGACTGATGATGGCTTGGGGGAGGGGCGGCCACAGGTGAGCACAGGGGTCTTTTTGGAATGATGGCTGTTCCATACAGAGGGTGGTGACCATTCAGTCTTTAAACACACTAACATCACGCTTGCACAATTCACAGTAAAACTGATGTCTTCCTTAAATATGTATTCCCAGATGTTGTCTATTTTTTATTTTTTTGTTGGTTGTGGGTCTTGAACTCTGGGTGTGGGCGCTGTCCCTCAGCTCTTCAGCTCAAGGCTAGCGCTCTACCACTTGAGCCACAGCACCACTTCAGGCTTTCTAGTGGTTTATTGGAGATAAGAATCTCATAGTCTTGGGCTGGGAAGGTGGCTCAGTGGTAGAGTGCTTGCCTTGCATGCCTGAGGCCCTGGGTTCGATTCCTCAGCACCACATAAGCAAAAAGAAAAAAGCCGGAAGTGGTGCTGGGGTTCAAGTGATAGAGCGCTAGCCTTGAGCTGAAGAGCTGAGGGACAGCGCCCAGGCCCAGAGTTCAGGCCCACGATTGTACCCAAAAAAAAAAAAAGAATCTCATGGTCTTTCCTGCCCAGGCTGGCTTTGAACTGTAATCCTCACATCTCAGCCTCCTGAATAACTAGGATGACAGGCGTGAGCCACCAGCCACCCGGCCACTGAGAGAGCTTTAAATGAAAAGTAACAGAGCTGGGAAGGTGGCTCAGTGGTAGAGCGCTTGCCTTGCATGCAGGAGGCCCTGGGTTCGATTCCTCAGCACCACATAAGCAAAAAGAAAAAAGCCAGAAGTTCCGCTGTGGCTCAAGTGGTAGAGCGCTAGCCTTGAGCTGAGGAGCTGAGGGACAGCGCCCAGGCCCAGAGTTTAGGCCCCACGACCAACAAGAATAGAAACAGTCCCTACTTGTGTCTAAGGCTGCAGGCAGCAACTGGCACATCACCCAGTTAGTTCCCTGATAATGCACACGGTTCTGCCACACCCAGAGGTGCAGCCCTGCTCCCCATGGGAGCCATGCCCTCCAGCGGGGGTCTGCTCCTGATTCTGCAGCACTCGGGAGCCAAACCTCTTCTAAATCTTAGGAAGAGAAAGGAAGACCGTGGCTGTCCATCAGTCTGAAAACAAGTGGGAGGTGAGGACAGGGGAGACTGGGACTGGGTCCAAGAGACTCAGAAGCAACGCTGCAGCCGGCACCATATGGGAATCCTGTCCCAGGTTGGCCTAGTCTTTGAGAGAAGTCAAGAATCCAGACTATGGCAAACTGTTCTGTTTTTTGTACTGGTCCTAGGGTTGAACTTGGGACTTGGGCACTGTCTGTGAGCTTCTTTTGCTCAAGGCTAGTGCTCTACCACTTGAGCCACAGCTCTACTTCTGGCTTTTTGGTTATTCTTTTGTTTCATTGGCTTTCCTGCCCCAGCTAGCTTCAAACTACGATCCTCATTTCTCAGCCTCCTGAGTAGCTAGGATTACAGGTGTGAGCCACCAGATGCCCAGCAGGTAAGTTTTAAGTATTGGCAACTCTATGGGCCAACCATCCATGAACATGTGTAAGCAGGACATGGTCTTCGGGTCACCAGGCCATGCTCTGGGCAGGAGCATCAGGCAGCTTGTCCTGGCTACTCAGCGTAGACAGGGGCTCCTTCTGCCTGGATTTGTCATCATCAGGTGGCCTGCTCTGCTCTACATCCAGGGTGGGCCCACTCTGTCCCTTCTCTGTGCTGTGCTGCTTGTCAGAAAGGCCAGAGGTGACTAGCCTTTCTTTCTCGCTGTCTAGGAGACAGAGGTGGAGCTGTACAATGAATTTCCTGAACCCATCAAACTGGACAAGAACGACCGGGCCAAGGCCTCAGCCGAGAGCTGCAGCTGCTGAGGAGGCAGTGAGCACTGAGCACAGAGTCCTTCACCAACCAAGAACACACACACACAGGCCTTCAAACACACGCCCTCCCTCCTGTAAACAAACCAAGAACACACACAAGCCTTCAAACACAAGCCTCCCTCCTGTAAACAGAGCAGAAAGCAACCTCTCACATCCAGCTGCCAAAAGAAATCCCACCAAACACGGTTGTCCCTCATCCACACATGCCCACGTCATAGTACACACACACACACACACACACACACACAAGCAAACTGCAGCACAGGCCTGCGGGGCTCCTAGTCAGTCGCCCCCCGGTGTGGCTGCAGACCCCAGTCTGGCTGGTCAGCAGTGAGCTTGCTCTTCTTGTCCATTGGAAAGCGAGAGGACTGTTCACAGCGAATCTCTCTAATTAGTGATCTGATTGTTTTAACGGTCTTGTTATCCCTGACCCCATCCTCCCTGCCGAAGGCCCCCTTGGGAAGGCTGGTGCCGACGCTTCATTTACAGGCTTACTCCCAGTCTGATCAGACTGAGTTTTGTATGTATCTGTTAATGCTTGTTACTTTTAACTAATCAGATCTTTTTACAGTATCCATTTATTATGTAATGCTTCTTAGAAAAGAATCTTATAGTACATGTTAATATATGCAACCAATTAAAAATTATAAATTAGCGTGAGGAATTTGTGGATCATGTGTGTCAGGCCCTGTAATACAGGCATGTAAGGTGGAGGGTTGGACCCTGTCTGGATTGCAGTGTTAGAGATGCAGCATTTGGAAATCCAGCTAGTGGCAGTATTCTGTACAGTAGACACAAGAATCATGTACGCCTTTTATCAAAGACTTAAGAGCCAAAAAGCTTTTCATCTCTCCAGAGGGAAAACTGAACTAGACAGTTCCCTTCTGTCTGAATTTTCCAAAAGGTTGATTTGCATAATACAGTTGTACGTGCAATGGATAAATGGTTGTTATAACTCGAAATTCTTATCTCCTCCCTTCCCCTACTGCTCCACATTTCAGAACTCCCATTAGATGTGCACCTGCTCTCTGAGGAGAGGAGAGCCCTGGCAGACCTGTCCTAGCAAATTGACCTTTGTTCTAGAAGGCGCTGCTTTTAGGATTGTGGTGTCCTAGGTTAGCAGACCTTCTCCTCCCAACCTAGCTTCCCCCCCTCCCCCCGCCCAGCCACCCACCTTCTCAGTTGAGCCCTGGCCACTCGGCCCCTCCCCAGGACTGCCTGCACCCTGACTGGCTTGAGGGAGCATGCCCTTCTCCAGAGGTCTGTGTTCTAGGTGTGGGCTGCGTCTTCTGTAAAGAGATGAATGGGATGCCAATAAAACTTAACAAGAACAAAGAACAGCTTCCTTGGCCCTGTGTGCTGGTTTGTTTTTTTTTCCTCTCTCTTCCTGCAGATAAATGGCTCCAAAGAGATGTTTACTGCCCACAGCCAGTGTTCTTAGGGTAGGATCCTTCTCCCTGGCCCATCCACCCCGTAGGACCTGCCTTCGTGGTTTTTGCAATCTCAGTATTGTGGGTGTTTAGTCCTTGAATGGACACAGCATAGTCCCCTCAGAGTAATGGCCACCATGACCCTGAATTCAAGCCCCAGTTACAAAGTAAATCCAAAGAGGTGTCACCTAGAAGCAATTCTGTAAAGTATCAGTGGAGCCAGACTCCAGTGGCTTACACCTGTAACCCTAACTCTGCAGAAGGTGGGGGTCCAAGAGACTCCTCTCCAGTTTGCCAGCAGACAGCGGAAGTGGAAAGTGGGGCTACGCTCAGATACTAGACCTCAGTCTAACCTTTAGTTCAAGTCCAGGACCTGCACAAAAAGTAAGTAAGATCTGTGAGAGTAGAGCTGTGGCTCAAGTGGTAGAGCAAAGCAAGAGGGCAGGGAATGTGGCTTAGCAGTAGAGTGCTTGCCTAGCATGCATGAAGTCCTGGGTTCAATTCCTTAGTACCACATAAACAGAAAAGGCCAGAAGTGGTGCTGTGGCTCAAGTGGTAAAGTGCTAGTTGAGCAAAAGAAGCTCAGGGACGGTGTCCAGGTTCTGAGTTCAAGCCCCAGGACTAGAAGGCATACACATGTGTGCGCATGTGCCTGCACACACACACCCCAATAGGAAGTGGTTCCATCTTCTGGTGTGTCTTCAAATCCTTCTAGGTTTGTTTTTTGTGGGTTGTAGAGCTTGAACTCTCTCTGGGCCTGGGCGCTGTCCCTGAGCTCTTCAGCTCTAGACAAGTGCTCTGCCACTTGAGCCACAGCATCACTTTTGGATTTCTGGTGGTTAATTGGAGATAAGGATCTCAGGAGCTTTCTTGCTGGCCCTGGCTTCGAACCGTGATCCTCAGATTTCATCCTCCTAAGTAGCTAGGATGACAGGAGTGATCCAGCATCTCGCTCCTTCTAGATTCTTTTTTTTTTTTTTTGGTCCAGTTGTGGGGCCTGAATTCTGGCCTGGGCACTGTCCCTCAGCTCTTCAGCTCAAGGCTAATGCCCTACCACTTGAGCCACAGCGCCACTTCCAGCTTTTTCCTTTTTGCTTATGTGGTGCTGGCTGAGGAATCGAACCCAGGGCCTCAGGCATGCAAGGCAAGCACTATACCACTAAGCCAACTTCCCAGCCCCAACTTCCCAGCCCCTCGCTCCTTCTAGATTTTACAGGGTTTTTTTTTTGGGGGGGGGGGAGTCCGGTTGTGGGGCCTGAACTCTGGGCCTGGGCGCTGTCCCTCAGCTCTTCAGCTCAGGGCTAGCGCTCTACCACTTGAGCCACAGCACCACTTCCAGCTTTTTTCTTTCTGCTTATGTGGTGTTGAGGAATCGAACCCAGGGCCTTTGGCATGCAAGGCAAGCGCTCTACCACTGAGCCACCTCTCAGCCCCAAGGTTTTACACATTTTGTAAAGGTCTTTAAGTTAATGTGTATATACTTTTTTTATTATTTTTGAGGCTATCATGAATGGAATTGTTTTCCTAGTCTCCTGTTCAGCCTGTTCATTTTTGTCGTGTGGCAAGTGTTGATATCCTGTGGTGTGATTGATACACCCTGTGTGATTGATTGAGCGCATCACTGCCTTTTTGGCACTGTGGGTCTGTCAAGCACAGGATTTTCTCATCTGCATATAAGGGTAATTTGATTTCTTCCTATTTGAATCCCTTTCCTTTCTTTTTCCTCCTTATTGCTCTGGCTAGGAATTCCAGTATCATATTGAATAAAAGCACCCTTGTCTCATTTCCTGACTGAGGAAAATTGTTTTTCCCCTATTTATTGTGTTGAGTTTAGGTTTGTCATACATCCACATATAGTAACATGTGTATTTTTCATATATATAAAACCTCATTAAGTTTAGGCACATTCTTTCTGTTCCTGATTTTAAGTTCCTGGAGGGGGCTGGGAAGGTGGCTCAGTGGTAGAGCGCTTGCCTTGCATACATGAGGTCCTGGGTTTGATTCTTCAGCACCACATAAGAAAAAAGAAAAAAGCCGGAAGTGGCACTGTGGCTCAAGTGGTTGAGCACTAGCCTTGAGCTGAAGAGCTGAGGGACAGCGCCCAGGCCCAGAGTTCAGGCCCCAGGATGGACTTCCCTCCCCCCCCCAAAAAAAAAAAAGTTAAAACACAGCCACGCCGGGCGCTGTGGCTCACGCCTGTAATCCTAGCTACTCAGGAGGCTGAGATCTGAGGATCATTGTTCAAAGCCAGCCTGGGCAGGAAAGTCTGTGAGACTCTTAATCTCCAATAAACCACCAGAAAACCAGGAGTAGTTGTGGCTCTTAGCTGAGGGACAGCACCCAGGTCCATCGTTAAGCCTCACAACCGACAAAAAAAAAAAAAAGAACCTACTAGAACCTTTGAGAGACAGCAAAGGCAGTGCTAATCTATAGCTACATGTATTGTTTTTTAAAAGACATCTCAATGTACCTACTTAGGTACCTCAAATTGCTGGAAAAACAAGAACAAGCCAAGTCTAAAATTTGGCTAGGTGCCAGTAGGCTTACTCAAGAGAAGGAAATAAAAAAAGATAAAATCTTAGGATCACAGTTTGAGGCCAAGTCCAGGTAGAAAATTCCATGTGACCCTATCTTCAATTAGCAAAAATCCTGGGAAATGTAGCTCAAGTGGTAGAGAGCCAGCCTTGAGCAAAAAAGCTAAGGGACAGCTCAGCTCCAGTGCCCGGAGTTCAAGCCCTAGTACTAGCAAACGCTCAAAAGAACTTGGCAGATAGAAACAATTTAATAGCTGACGGCAGAAATAATGAAATGTAGCCTTAAAAAATTATAAAGAGGAGCTGGGAAGGTGGCTCAGTGGTAGAGCGCTTGCCTTGCATGCATGAGGCCCTGGGTTTGATTCCTTAGCACCACATAAGCAAAAAGAAAAGTGGGAAGTGGTACTGTGGCTCAAGTGGTAGAGCGCTAGTCTTGAGCTGAAGAGCTGAGGGACAGCGCCCAGGCCCAGAGTTCAGGCCCCATGACTGGACCCCCCCAAAAAAAATTATAAAGAATTGGGGCTGGGAAGGTGGCTCAGTGGTGGAGCGCTTGCCTTGCATGCAGAGGCCCTGAGTTCGATTCCTCAGTACCACATAACCAGAAAAAGCGGGAAGCGGCACCATGGCTCAAGTGAATGCTCGCCTTGAGCTGAAGAGCTGAGGGACAGCTCCCAGGCCCAGAGTTCAGGCCCCACGACTGACAAATACAAACCCAGGGCCTCATGCATACAAAGCAAGCACTCTACCTCTGAGCCACCTTCCCAGCTCAAACTTTTTTTTTTTTTGTCAGTCATGGGGTTTGAACTCGGCCTGGGCGCTGTCCCTCAGTCTTCAGCTCAAGGCTAGCGCTCTACGACTTGAGCCACAGCGCCACTTTCAGTTTCCTGGTGGCTTCAGAGTTTCACAGCCTTTCCTGCCTGGGCTGGCTTTGAACTGTGATCCTCTGATCTCAGTCTCCTGAGTAGCTAGGATGACAGGCGTGAGCCACCGGTGCCCTGCTTCCAGGAACTTTTTATTTTACCCCTTGTTACTTCAGTGACCTGCTCATCTTCCAGCAATATGTGGGCAGTTTCTATGTGTTTGGATATCTTCTGTAGTCTCCTTTGTTGTTGAATTCCCGTTTAAATACTTTGCCTGCCCTGGGGTGCACTCCAGCTCCTAGTGTATGTTATTTTTGCTGGAGTTCTCACCAAGGAAGGCAGTCCTTTGGTTTTGTAAACTTCTTAGGGTTTAGTCATGGCCAAGTGGTGAATTATTTATTACTCATAGCTCTACTTTAGAGAAGAAAAGGAGAAAGGCTGTTAAATGTAGCTCAGGCTGAGCATGCGACTCAAGGCCCTGGGTTTCATAGGCCCCATCGCCCTCCCTGCCAAAGAAGGAGAAAAAGTCCTACAATAAGTAGAATTAAAGGGTTGGAGGCATAGCTCAGTTGGTGCAGCACTAAACCAATGAGCCAAAATCGGGTCCCAGTCTCACACCAAAAAAGAATTGGTAGCCTGAAAACAGCCATACTGCCAACGCGATCTACAAATTTAACACAATCCCCATTGAAATCCCAATGACATTTTTTACTGAGAGAAAACAAAAATTCACCTGGAACAGCAAGAGACCTCGAATAGCCAAAGCAATTTTAGGCAAAAAAAAAGGAAAAGAAAGCTGATGGTATCATGATCCTAGGCTGAAACTCTACTACAGAGCTATCATAACAAAAACATTTCAATGTTGGCACAAAAGCAGGCCTGAACACCAGTGGAACAGACTAGAAGACCCAAAAATAAAGCTACATACTTAAAGTTACCTGACACTTGACAAGAGAATAAAAAACAGAATGTAGAAAAAAATAGATAACTGGGGCTGGGAAGGTGGCTCAGTGGTAGAGCGCTTGCCTTGCATGCCTGAGGCCCTGGGTTCGATTCCTCAGCATCACATAAGCAAAAAGAAAAAAGCTGGAAGTGGTGCTATGGCTCAAGTGGTAGAGCGCTAGCCTTGAGCTGAAGAGCTGAGGGACAGCGCTCAGGCCCAGAGTTCAGGCCCCACGGCCGGACCCAAGATAAAATAAATAAATATAAAAAAAATGTAAAAAAAAAAAAAAAGGTTGGGCGCCGCTGGCTCACTCCTGTCATCCCAGCTACTCAGCAGGCTGAGATCTGAGGATCCCGGTTCAAAGCCAGCCCAGGCAGGAAAGTGCATGAGACTCTTGTCTACAATGAACCACCAGAAAATAGGAAGTGACGCTGTGACTTAAAGTGGTACAGCACTAGCCATGAGCAAAAAGAGCTCAGGACAGTGCTCTGGCCCTGAGTTTAAGCCCCTGACTGACAGAGGAAAAACAAAAAACCCTCAGAGCAGGATAGCAGATAGTAGCAGTAAA